AATTAGTTTTGGCGTCGTGGTCATAGATGAAAGAAGAAGAAAGAAAAAAAAAGAAGCTCACTTCCTTCTATGTTGTATATCTTTATTTACATAGGTCCACCAAAGGGCTATTCCGAAAACCTGATTGGGATGTCGCAGCTAGCTGTTTTGAACGTGCAGGTAAATATAGTGAACTCTTATCAGTCGAGTGAAACGAGTGATGGTGGAGTAATGCCAAGACAAAGGAAACCGAAACTAAATCCACATAATGTATATTTTAGCCACTTCCTTCAAGATTGCCCGGTCGTATGATCAAGCTGTCCAGGCATACACGAAAACTTCAGAAGCATACTTTAAGGCTGATGGGTAAGCATGAAAAGTGTGTTAATCGGTACGATGGAAGCGTTGGAATATTCATATCTATTTAGAATTCACCTTGCAGGCAAAGCAATGGAAAATGCTGGGTTTCTTCTTGCACAGAACTTGAACCAATCTCAACGGGCGGCTGAAGCTTATAAGCAAGCAAGCGACTTATTCATGGCGGATGGTAAAATGGATCGCGCTGCTGAGCAACTGGAGAAGGCTGCAAGGTAAGACAATACAAGTTCGCATGTGTATCTAAAAAAAAAAAAAGTGATACGGCGGGCACTGTGATGGATTGATAGGCTAACACTTTTTTGGGATGGGGTCATGTTAACTTTATAGGTCAATGGAAAACGTTGATGTCAATGCAGCTATTGAACTTTATAGCTCTGCCTGCTCTCTCTTTGAACAAGAAGATCGTGGTCGATTTGCTCAAGAAATATTCAAAAAGGCGATATCTTTGTCTGTTAGAAGTAGAAAGTAAGTATCACAATAGATATGGAGTGACACAGTACCTGACAGATTTATTTCATTCCCTCGATCTAGATACGCTAAAGCTATTGAACTTATACATCGTCAGTGCCATATATTGCAAAAGCTAGCAAGTCGGACTCATGTGTACAAAGCCAATCTTAGCTTGCTGATTATATTGTTTGCATTGGGTGATGAGGTGGAAGCTGGAAAACAGTTCAATACCATGTGTGCAAAGTAAGCGTACCAAACGTCTTTCTTGATGATGATTTTGTTTTAAAACGGTGCATTCCTTTTTTTTTTTTTTTTAGTGACGCTGGGTTTGCTCAAAGCGAAGAAGCAGATATTGGACAAAGCTTATTACAGGCCTATGATGAAGTCGATCAGGTATTATTGGAAAAAACGGTACGACGACAACAAGTGTCCTTTTTGGATAATGAAGTGGCCAAGCTTTCTCGTACACTGACGGTGCCTGGTGAAAGTCTCTCTGCGCAACCACCTTCATCATCTTACCGTCCAACGCCAACGAATCAATCTTATCCTTACAAAAGCGCCCAACCACCACCTCCTCCTCCTCAAACGGCTTATGGAATGCCATCTCAAACAAAAGAAGACATATATAATCGACCACCTCCACCTAGCCATCATCATCAACAATCATCGTCTCCACCTCCACCCCCTCATTATTCTGGACCGCAACAAGGATATCCAGCGGAAAAGCAACAGCACCATCCACCTGTCACTGATGTCGACTTGGACGAAGAATTTGCCCGGTTGAATACAAATCCCTCTTATCAACAAAACCAACCACCAAGACCTGATCATCATGGACAACACTCGCCTTATCCTCCACATCCTCCTCCTTTTCAACAGGCTGATGATGATGACGATGATCTCCGCTGAACGAAACAATGGTGCGCATGATCATCGGTGAGACATCTGTCAAAAAAACCTCCTATCAAAAACCTTGTTTTTTTATAGTTTACTTTACATTAGTTTTAGTTTTTTAGTATTATTTTATAAAAGTACAATAAAAAACCTATTTTGCTTCTTCATTTGTCTTCTTTTTATTATCATTGTTGTTGCTATCATATTATTTATCTTTGAATATATTCATGTCTCATCAACAGCGCGTACAAACTAGGGATCCTATAATGGACGATGATACGTTTTCATTGAAATTTGGGAATCCGATAAAAATCATCCATGATATACAACCAAGCAATGCCACAGCGCCTACATCTATGCACCATGTTCCTTCATATCTACCTTCATTATCGACAAGCAGTGACGGATCTGAGGATGAGCACGATCATTATAGGACCACCGCCACCCATCATCCGCAGTCTGATAAAAAAAGCACCTCGTCGTTACACAGTCGAGCATCTTCTAGTAGTAGTGTTGAAAGAGATGTTGCCAACTTTGCAGAATTTTATCATAACCAAGATGGAAGAGTAAACGAAATTGATCATATTTAATGAAATAAAATTGAAAAGTGACATACAACTTTTATTATGAAAATCATCTGGTGCAGCACATTCTTAGGTACAGAATGTGAAAATTAAGGAAATAACTTGAATCGGCTCGGCTCTGGGGTGGCGTGTATGTTGGTGCGGGAAGTATACTACCCTCGACAGGTGTGGGGGAAGGGCTCGAGGAAGAAATAAACGTCATAAGCGTGAAACTAGACCTGAAGGTTGGATAAGTCTCAGTCAAAAAAAAAAAAAAAAAAAAAGCTGGGTATGCGGTGTTTGATTTGTGTCAAATATGAAAACAATGCAGTCTCGGAACAATAATATGGAATAGAGCAGTGACATCCTATATTAAAGCAATCAAAGACATTGAATGCGTAATTGGGTCACTAGAGGCGAGAAATAAAATAAAAAAATGCATTGCATTCGACCCATGTTTCAACACCGGGAAGGTTACACTAACAACTTATGTCCACTGAAAAACAGAAAAGCACATAGAATGTTTGTTTGTGATATCAAGGGCTATTTTCTACATTGATAAACCTATTCACCCTGGCGATTATATTGACAGTCGGTACCATATATTTTATTTTTCAAGATCAACACTCTCACTATTTTCATTCTCATTTTCCTTTTGTTCCTGAAAGCGGGGAGGCTTATTTTGACGAAAAAAAAAAACCAAAAATGCCAAAAGTCCAAGCACCCCACTACTGGGTTTAAAAAACATTTTTGAGGTACCCACCCATCCACTAAACAAATAAAAACTTTTTTCCTTCTTTTTTTCTTTTTTATTTTTTATCTCTTACATTATTATATAAATGACGACGTCCATTCAATCAAATTCATACATGCCTGTAGAACCCACTCAAACTACAAATAAATTACCAATTGTACAACTGAAGAAGGACTCCCGCTCTTATGTTCATTTTATTGCCGGAGGGTATGTATGAAGGAATCGCTGGTTTAAACATAGATTGATTGATTACATAGACCGTCCATTGGGACTAACTGTTATACCTTTTTTTCATTTACAGTGTCGGTGGCCTTGCCGGTGCAGTATGTACGTCCCCATTAGACGTTGTGAAAACTCGATTACAGGTAAGTCGTAGTACAACCATTGTAGTTTTGACAGTTCGGACACATTCTTTCTCCGCTTTCTCTTTACTGATATCGTTTACTTTTTATAGTCAACCTTTTATCAACAAATGCCGAAAACTGGGGGCGCACGAACCAATCTTTTATGGGGACATTTTGTGGAAACTGGACGATTATTAGTTAGAATCAAACAAGTGGAAGGTATTCGGGGCTACTTCAAAGGTCTTGGGCCAAACTTGGTGGGTGTCATTCCTGCAAGGTAAACATCTATATAATAGGAAAGGGGGAGGACTGGATCAAGTGAAAATCATGGTATTCACTATCTTTATTCGACCTTTTTATTTACAGATCCATCAACTTTTATACCTACGGTAACGGCAAAAAACTATACACAGAACTGAATCATGGTAAAGAAACACCCATGGTGCATTTGATATCAGCAGCAACGGCAGGTTTGGTGACATCAACGGTGACGAATCCTATCTGGGTAGTCAAGACAAGGTTACAGCTTCAAGGGAAAAATCGAATTTATAAGAACAGCTTGGACTGTGTGATGCATATACTACGTGAAGAAGGTGCTCGTGGACTATACAAAGGAATGAGTGCCTCTTATCTAGGTAAGGAAGAAGAAAAAAGTGTCCGAGTGATGTATCAATTAACCCTTTCTCTTTTTTTTTCGTAGGCGTTGCGGAAGGAACAATTCAATGGGTGACCTATGAGCATCTGAAACGAAAATGGGCCACACCAAAGAATTTGAGTACAAATACTATCGGAGGAAAAAGTCCACAAGGTAATATATATTTATATATAAAAAAGAAGGATGGATGAATGGAAAGTAACAAAGACTTTTGTATTTCTCTGAGTAGAATGGATGGGAAATCTAGGTGCTGCAGCCATCTCCAAATTTGTAGCAGCATGTATATCATATCCTCATGAAGTCGTCCGAACTCGATTAAGACAGCCTGCTGAAAATGGCGTCATGAAATACACCGGATTATGGCAATGTTTCAAGTTGGTGTGGAAAGAAGAAGGTATGGTGGCCCTCTATGGTGGTATGTCAGCTCATCTTATGCGTGTTGTCCCCAATGCTGCTATCATGTTCTTCTGCTATGAAGCTATTATCCACAACTTCGGAAAATCTTAGGCTGTTAGACTTTCTTTTTATCATTTTTTTTTTATTTTTATTCCCCTTTTTACATCTACCTCTTTTTCCCTTTGTTAACATCCATCATATTACTCTTGTCATTATCTCCCTTTTTCTCTATTCTCGTATTATATAGTCATTTTTATAGATATCTCAGTATTGCCATCTTATGTACACATGTCCATCACCCTTTTCCAATTCATTCATTATACAATAAAAACTTTATTCTCAACCATAATTTATCTGTTAGTGGTTTTTCTTGTTTGTTATATGGAAGATAAAGTTATCACATTTCTGTCAATATGTTTTTTTTGTTCCCTTTACCTTTATACAAAAAAAAGTTCCCTTTAACTTTGGTACCTTCAACCAATGATAAATTACCTTCATTCCGTTCCGTTGTTTTGCCGTTGGCTAAATATTTTTGCCGAATACCTCTTTTGGCTTCTATATAACCACTCAAAAAAATATTCATATAAGCCTTCGTGGCGCAATTGGCTAGCGCGTCTGACTGTTAATCAGGAGGTTGGTGGTTCAAGCCCACCCGGGGGCGATATACTTTTGCTTTCTTCCATTCGGGAGTTCCAATATGTTTTGTTTTTACATGTGTTGATGTTCAGTATTGTTACGGCTAATTTGGGTAAGAAGCTTGTAACAGAGTAGTGTTGCGGCTAAATTTGTGATTTTAGTCCAACTGGATTGTGTTTTTGTAGGTTTTTTATGTTTTTCTGGGTTGAATAGGATGTGTTGCGGCTAAATTTGTGGTTTTAGTCCAACTGGATTGTGTTTTTGTAGGTTTTTTATGTTTTTCTGGGTTAAATAGGATGTCTTGAGTGATCCTTTGGTGTAGCTTTGATCGTTTGGAGCTTTGAAAAATAATTTTCTTCCTTCGGCGGAATTTGAAATATTTTGTTCCTGAATCGGACAAAAATAGATTTGATAGTAGTGAGCACCAGAACTTTTGTAGATAAAGTCCAACTGTAGAGAAAGTTTATAAAAAATAAACTTGAAAAAGTAAAATAAAATAAAAAGAAAAGTATTGACCTTTGTTGGTTCAATAAAAATAAGTGTATAACACACAGTAAAAATAAAATAAAAAGAGGACTTGTAGTCACAAAAAAATAAGAGAAAGTTTCTATATAGACGATAGAAACAAAATAAAAATAAGACAGTGATTTGGTGGTTAAAAAACCTTTGTACTGAATTTTATAAAAAAGGTTGAGATAAATATGTAAAAATAAATAACTAAAGAAAAAAATAAAATTGTTGCGGGGGAAGTGGAGGTATTTATACTAATCAAAAAAAGAGGCTAACTATATATGAGGGGGTGGTGCAGGACGACACTTGTCGACACTTGTCAACATCGGTCAGCATGAAAACCAGTCACTGCATAGCCAGAGGTCAGGGGATGGTCAGAGGCCGATCCTCGACATCCTGGGGGCCAGGAGAAGACTGTCCTCCAGTCGTAACGCATCTTGAGAAATTGATTTATGATTTTTCGTTTCGTTTGTTGTTTGTTGTTCGGTGTTGAGGTAAGATAATATTTCAATTTCGAAATAATGTAGAGTCAGGTAAAAAGTGAGCACCAAAATAAAAGTGAGTACTGAAATATGTATATATCGTTTGTTATAATAATGTAGAGTCAGGTATCGTTTTTCGCGATCTGTAGCGTCTTCTGAGTATTGCAATTTCTTTAGATAACGTTTGATTTGATTGATCGTTCGTTCGTCCATGTTGATAATTTCTTTTGTTGTGGTAGTTGAGCTTTTTACGACGTCGCACTTGTTGGTCGCATCTTCGGGGAATTTCAATCGTTCAAGATAATATTTGAGTTGATTAATTTTTCGTTCTTCCATCGTTGTTATTTGTCGAGTCACCAGATATGTGATTGTAGAATTCGTTAAGTGCCAAATGCGTGAGAATAGAATGAGCACCAAATATAAATATAGAGTTTGACAGAGTATCAGTTGTGTTGTGTGTATCAGATAAAAGTAAGATAATGTGAGTTAATTTAGAGGATAGCTTTTTACGACGTCGTCCCTTTTTTGGTCGCATGGTTTTTTTTTTTTTTTTTTTTTTTTTTTTTTTTTTTTTTTTTTTTTTTTTTTTTTTTAGGTGGTTAAATTGAGGATCGATCAGTATCCCAGACGTGATAGGAAATCAGCGGCTTCCTGTTTTCGTCCATTTCGATACTTAATTTCAAAGTCATATTCAGCCAAGTATTGGATCCATCTTGCTACAATGCCAGATACTTTGGGTGATTGTACCAACCATCGTAAAGGTGAGTGGTCTGATATGACAGTGAATTTTTTGCCAAGTAAATAAGGTCTGAATAGTTGCAGGCTCCATACTAGGGCGAGACATTCCAATTTAGTAGCACCGTAGTTTTGTTCACTGTTTTTTAATCCGCGACTTGCATAAATCACAGGGTGTTCTTTGCCATCGTCGTCTAGCTGCGATAAGATGGTACCAATTCCTTTTTGGGAGGCGTCGCACACAATAATAAAGGGTTTCGAAAAATCAGCACGTCGTAGTATAGGTGCTTGTGTTAATTTTTGTTTTAAAAGGTTGAAGGCATCTGTGGCTTTTTCGTTCCAGGTAATATTTTTTGTCGTCTTGGTTTGTTCATGTAACGGTCTTGCAATGGCAGCAAAGTTTTTTATGAATCTCCGATAGTAAGAGGCCAATCCAATAAAGCCCCTGATTTGTTTAAGGGTTTTAGGCGGTGGGAATTCCTGAATTTTTTTTATTTTTTCTTCATCCGTCTTTATTCCATTTTTTGTTATCACGTAGCCCAAAAATTTCAGTTCGTCTTTGAAGAATACGCACTTGTCGATGTTGAATAATAATCCTCCTTGTCGTGCACACATGAATACTTGTCGTAGATCCCGTATGTGTTGTATATAAGTTTTGGAATGGATGTTTAGGTCGTCAATGTAGGCAACAAGGCACTTGTTTAGTAAGGACCAAAGCATAGGTCTATTAGGCGTTGAAAGGTAGCAGGACTATTTACTAACCCCATAGGCAGCATTTCGTATTGGTAGGTTCCAAACTTTGTTACGAATCCAGTTAATTCTTTGGTTTCTTCTTTCAATGGTACTTGGTGGAAACCAGAACGTAGGTCTAGTGCTGTGAATATTCTTGAACTGCCTAGTTCATCAATCAAGTCGTCAATTTTTGGCAAAGGGTAAGCGTCAACTTTGGTTAAAGCGTTTAGTTTGCGATAGTCAACAACCATTCGGTAATCACCATTCTTCTTCTTGACTAATATTATAGGTGCGGTATACGGTGTGCTTGCTGGTTTGATGATTCCCAGGTCACATAATCGGTCGAGCTCTTGCTTCAAGTATTCTTGCTCCACGGGTGCCATTCGGTATGGTCTATGTCGGATAGGTGGTGCATTTTCTTTCAGGATAATTTCATGTTCCAGTAGTGTGGTCTTGCCCATTCTGTCATTGTGCCAGTCAAATACATCTTGGAATTCTGTAAGTAGATGTATAAAGGACTTGCGTATATCAGGCGGTACATCTCCTAACTGTAGTTTTTCTTCCTTTGTAGGGTCCAATTCTTGTGATGGTTGTATAGTGTCGTCGTCTTTTATCTCCATCTGTGCTAATTCGTATCCTGTGGATTGTTCGTCGTCTTCTTCTATTTCAAACTTTGTCATTCGATGCGCAATGATAGTGTTCGGTGGGTAACTTTTGTCGTTGTCCGTTATGTTGATATCTATGAACTGATTGTCTTTCAAATATTTTTCATAGGTGACATCTGGTTGCATGTGGATGATAGTTGGTAGAGCGTTATCATTGGGTGTATTTAAATCAACGGTGCACATGGTGTATGGTGGAAGGGTGAATCCATTTTCTTTGGTACTGATGGTTACTTCGGTGTCCGATACATGGTTTATTCGGAAAGCGTAGTCTTGGTCTTCAGCAGGTGTGATTTGACACAATTCTTGATCTTCATCGTCTTTGTCGTCGTGTTCCCATTCTTCTTCTTCTGTTTCTTCATCGGTGATTTCATCTTCATCACTTGTATCTTGATCGTCCACTATTGGTGTTGGTTTGACAGGGATTGGTTGACTTGGTGGTGGATTCTCTTCTTCATAGATAACGTGGGATGCTTTCAAGGTAACCGGCTTTGATGATGCTTTGATGTATGTGATAGGAATAATCATCTTCTTGTGTTTATAGGTTACAGTTAGTGTTCCCATTTTGATGTTGATAATGGCTTGTGCATGATTCAACCAATCGATTCCTAGGATTAGGTGAGATGGGCATTGTGGCAGTACTTCCATGTTAGTGGGTATACTAATGCCTTCGGTTATTTTGATAGGGACATCAAGGACTATTCCAAGGGTAGGTTGTCTGGTTCCATTACCAAGGGTGAATACATTGGTAGATGGGGTATCGATTTCCATTCCCAGCATCTTCAACATGGTTCTTGACATACATGATTTGGCGGCACCACAATCTATCAAGGCTTTGATTTTTCTGTCCCCAATATATACTTCAGCATATGCGGCAGTTGTCACAACTTCTCCTTCTTCCATGGCGTTCAATGTTATAGGCGGCTTTCTTCTTTTGGGTCGACAGACATCACGTAGCTGTTTCTTTAGGTATGGTGATGCTTCGAGTAGATCTCCAACTTCAATATCGGCTTTACGGGTAAGGACATCGTCAGCGATACTATATTTAATAGCGGGATGTGTAGGTACTGATCTTTGTTTCTTTTCAACCGTTTCTTGTGTAGGAATATTTTGTTGTGGTGGTTGTGTTGATGAGGATGGTGTGTCTTCCAATCCATTGGTTCTTCTTTTCTTTGCTGATTTTGGATCATGTAGGACATCAGGTGATCTGTCTTTTCTGGTAGCAACGTAGAAATCTATATCTTCTTCATCATCTTCTTCTTCTTCTAATAAAAGGTTAGTATGTTTATTTTTATCTTTATACTTGTTTCGAATATCCATGGTGGTTAGGTTATGGGTTTGTTGTTGAGTATTGTTTTTGTTATCTTTATGTGGTTGGTTATGTGTGGATTTGTTAGGCGGGTTTTCCAACTGACCATCAACTGCAGTTGCCCGTGCTAGTTTTTTGACTGATGATTTTGTTGAGTGGGTTGTTGTGTTTGATGTTGTTGGTATTGTGGATTGTGTTGATACTGTTGATTGTTGTATGAGCGTCGGTTATTGTAATTGGGACGGCGGTTTTGATTCATGGGGGGTGATGGATGATAACCATCGTAGTCACCGTAGTTAGGATCAAAGACGGGGTCTTGATTTTGGTTATTGTAATTGCGTTGGCCATTATTGTGATGATACGAGTTTTGATTATAATGTGGGGCATTGTATTGTCGGGTTTGATGACGTGGGTTATTGTATCGAGGGTTGTGTGGTTGGTTGTATGTCCCATTTTGATTTTTTGAGAAGTTATTGAATTCTTCTTTGATGATACTTCTGATGGATTTTTGTATATCTTTCATGTCCAGTGGGTTTGTTGAAGTGATAGCGTTCAAACTGGGTGAGTTTGTAGCGGTTTGATAGGGAGACATTTG